GGAGGAGGAGGAGGAGGATGATTTTGAGAGATGGAAGAAGGATGGAACGAGAGAGGGAGGAAGAGGAAGAAGAGTTAGAAAGTGGAGGAGAGGGATGTTGATCTGGCTGGAATCTTTACCATGCTGTGGAGGGCTGGAGGGAAGGCAGGCAGAGCCCCGACTCATGCTGCATTGGAAGAAGGAAGGCATGGTGTGCAGCACTTAAGGACTAAGAATTCCAGTCAGAGACCAGCATGAGGGACATGAGGCAAAGTGGAAATTATGACAGAGTGACAGAGCAGCCACTCTGTTAGAACTTCAGAACGAAAGGAAGTGTAAGAAACATTGTGGCAAGGTGACCAGCTAACTAAAGCAAAAGGATCAGGAGATGATGTTTGGCAGCCAGGGCTGGCTAGGATTCAACGTGATGCAGTTGGACATAAGAATGTGAAAATGAAATAAAATGAAATAAAAATCATCTGACAGCGACTGTTTCAGCCTTGTGGTGCCAAAGCAACTGCAGTTCAGAGTGCTGGGGTGGCAAGTGGGAAGATAAAGGACTGGAAGAGGAGGGAACTGAAGTTCACGTTTAGTTGCTAGGAGAGAGTGACAGAAGGGGAAGCCCCTCCCCACAGAGACACGTGGTTGGGGGACCTTGCTTCCAAATCTAAATGATAGCGGGGAAGAAAGGATATATAGGAATGCCTTAGGATGGAGGTGCTGGTGAAAGTGTAGGATGTTATAGTGGATGCGGTAAAGCAGTTTTTGGTCTGTAGAAGGGAGGTACAGTCCTACATGAGTGGAAGATGTGTATTATTGAAAGTGTTATTAGTAGGAAGATGTCTTAGTTGCTTGCAACTCCAGGGGAGGTTCAAGGTGGATGGGGAATGGGGAAGCCAAGGAGATGTATTGATTACAGTAGTGATAGGCAAAGAGAAATATGGCAGAGGTGGCCAGGCTGGGGGATAAATGATTAAAAATGTACGGCCTCCTACCTCAAATCAAATCAAAAGCCAGTAGGCTCAAGCTGATGCTGTTAAATGCCAGGTCTGGCTGCAGCAATGCTGGTGGAAAACAAACAGTAAATATGACAGGTCATAGATATGAGCTCAGATCCAAGTCTGCACTTTGGCAGTAAGGGCAACAAAATATTTGTACCTCTCCATCCTCACTGTATCCACCAAACAGAACGCTATTCAGCAGCACTTTTTAGTGTTGCTCAGGCTTTATTATCATGGGCCAGAAAAAATGTTAATGGGCTGCTATATTTTTTAGCTGGACATTTGTGGATAAAACTGCTTGTATTTGATTTGCTCAGAAAAACTTATTAGACATTGTCCAAGGAGTTGACAGAGTGATGTCTTATGCTACCCTGAGAGCTTTTTGAGCCTGTGAATCTTGGTGAAGTAGACAGGTCCTTGGTAAGGCAAGCTCTGCCACCTTTGGCTTGATTCCTATCCTACCTAACTGGTACAAGCTGCCAGGATGACACAAGGAGTTGGATCCAGTTGATAGTAAATGCATTGTTACAGAAGTGCAGCAACTTTGTAAGGGGTGCTAGTGCACTCCCTCCAGACAATATTTTTGGACCCAACAATATTAGATAACTAATACTGCCTGGGTGACCTTGGGCTAGTCACTCTCTCTTAGCCCAACCTCACCTCACAGGGTTGTTGTGGTGAAAGTAGAAGACATGAGGTATATTCACTCTCTTGAGTTGACCACAAAAAAGAAAAGATAACATAAAAATCTAACAGCAACAACTGCCCCATCTCCAACCTCCCATTTTTGGGGAAGTTTACTGAGAATAAGGTGGGGCAGCAGCTAGAATGGAGTCAGACCTGGACATGGGATGGAAAGCACACTTTCATGAGTGATCTATGGCAGCACTTGGATGAAGAGAGTGTGACCATTCTTATGCTACTGGATCTTTCAATGGTCTTCCGTATCACTGATCACAATGTTCTTCTGTGAGGAAGAGGAATGATGTCACAATGGTTGTACAGTTCCTAAATGGGCAATCTGAGGTTGTGGGAAGGAAAGGTCATGTTACATCTTTGTATAGGATGCTTACTGGTTCCCAGTTTGCTGATTATTATTTATGGCTTGGGACTTGGTTTTCTTCAAGACTGCCCATTCCAAGCTGTCAGCTTGTTTAGCTTAAAATTATTTCAAAGCATAACAAGTATGTTCACAAAAAAACTTACCAGCTTACGCACAGCCTCCCGTAAAGTCTTTTCATCTTCAATCATAATAGCCATATCTTTTTCAACTGTAGAAGCTACTACTACATCAAGAGTTTCTGCTTTGGCTGCCATTCGACATATCATTTCATCATGAGAAAACACACAATAGCGGTTTAATAAACGGTAGTGCTCCACACACTGACGACCCAAAGGCAGCTAAACAAGAAATGAGAGCAAATATATTTTCTTTATGTGTTCTAAGGTAAGCAACATGTTATCCATTCTTGAAAGCAGCTGACTGAAGAAAATGTTAATTTAATGCAGTTCCTTAGACTAAGAATTAAAAAAAAACTAATGATAAGCTCTTCTAAGATCCTATATAAATAAACAAAATGTATTTATTATACAAGGATTGTACTGAAGCCCCAATTCTGAAAATGCGGTCCAAATTAAAATGCACTGCAATCATTCCTAGCAATTAAAAAATCTTCAGATCTATACAGAGTCCCCACAGCTGTTACTTTAGTGGGTTAAGACAATTTTCCTCAATAGAAATTTCATATGGACAATAAAGACTGCCTATAGAGTTTTTGATCAGGAAAGATGTTCAAAACAGTTGTTTTTAAGGTTATGTATGAGAAAGTGTTCAGTGTAAAGAGATAACTGAAAAATTATTTCATTAAAAAAAAAATTCTGAAATCACTATTTTCTTCTCTGAGCTGATTTTTCCAGTAAATAAAATTCATTTTGTACAGTTAATAAACTATCTGTACATTGATTTTACATACAGCTAGCCAGCGTATTTTCTATTTTAAACAATATCTATATCAGAAAACCTAGCCATAAGCCATTTAGATTATATTTTCTAAATAAAGAGATAGTTATATTCACAACATACCCAGTCAACAGTGCAGAAATTAACAGCTTCAGCAAAGTTAAAACCTTGATTAAAGCCACTATGATAGGCTCTTGGAAATGTAATCACAAATTCACCAGCACACTGATTGGTTCGGTAGATCTAGATCAAAACAAAGAAAGCCAACACAGGACAAAATATCAGATTTCTAAATCATCTGTCGGCCTCTGAAGTAGTTCATAATCAAGTTTAAATGAATTTGCATTACCCAATTTAATGAGTTTAAGTAAATAATGATGTTCACTTCCTTGCTTAGCAATGTAATGGCCATATTGCATTTGACATTTTTTAACTATGTCAAATTATTAATTGTAACTAACAAGTCCAGCCCAAGATTTATAACTAAACCATTTGATAAACTTCTGCAGAACAGAATGCAGGCTAAACATGGGTCAAGGTGCTTGTGGATCCCCCTTTAGTTATATCTAGTTATGTTTGCTTAAGGCTGGGGTGTATGTTCTTCTCATTGGCCAGAATCTTTTTTACTGATACTTATATAGTATTCCTTTTTTATATGGAAGCTGCTCAGAATCATCAAGGAGTAGGGCAGCCTTGAAATTGGATTGATTGATTGATTAAATAAATAAATAAAAATTGGCATTCAAGAGGATCTTGAAAACCTCAGTGAGCCCTATTAGACTAGGGAACATAGTCAAAACAGTCAAAACAGAGAAATATGTTACTAATTTTTATTAGCTTTCTTACACTATACAAAGTTTTTAACAGGGATATTTATCAACTAATACATAGGCAAAATGTTACATCTGGTAGGCTACGTGTGATCCACAATGCTAGATTAATTGGGCTTTTGGCCTAGCTAAGCAGACTTTTTCTTACATTCTCTGAACTGATCCATGAGGGATATATAATCTAATTTTTTAAAAAAAACATCCTATTGGATCATATATAGCTGATTCAAAAGACATTAGCCCTATTAGGCCTTTTTTCAATTAGATTTTTCTTAATATTGTCATTTATTTCTCTCACAGACATCATCCCAAATAACTCTCCCACTGAGAAAAAAAATTACTTCCAGGTAGGGAAAAATGGAGGACTGACATGTCTCTGAACAGCAGAGACAATGCTGAAGTGGAGACCGGTGACTGGGCAGGAAGCCCAGAACACCAGAGCCTCTCTGGACAAGGAGAAGCCAGGAGATCTGGAAGGCAGCTTCTTGTGAGGAGGCCTGCAGAACTCTGCAGGTGACTTGTGAGTAAGAGTGCTGGGAGCTGCAGAAGAAATATTATGCTCACAGCCTGAGCAGAGCCAAATTAAGGATACTAGGTTCACCCAAATCTCCACTTTCTAAAGCACATTTCAGCAGAGCAACTATACAACCCAGTGAGTGATCCTTTGACCAGGATTAAAGATTAAAGCTTAAAGGAGACAAAGAAATACTTCTTGGATTAAACAGCAAAAGGTTCTCAGCATATGGACTTTAGAAAGTATAACAACAGATTAAGGGCTCAGATGGACTTGGAATTATAATTTTAAATGCCCACAAAGAGTTTTGATTTAATGAAAAGAAACTTTCTCTTGGGAAAATGACGAGTGTTTTGAGTTTCTTTATAAGGGGACCTTGAAGGATGACACTAGAGGGAGCTAGAGGATAAAGAAAACGGAGCAGAAATCTATAATACATATTTGAGAATATCTGTCTACTGTTTTTTGACAGAACTGATAAACTTCTTGACAAAAATGACCAAACATGTTGTAGTGAATTTATAGAACAAGTTGCAATGGATGATTTTGAAATTACTATGAAGGGGACTTAAATGTACCAAGCAACGAGAAAGATATGGAGAAATATATGGGCATACAAATGGAACTCCCAAATAGATGATTCACTCCCAAGAGGAAATTTACAATTATTGAACCAAGAAACTGACTTGGATATCTTTTTTTTACTCGTTTTACAAAAAGTTCTGTCGAGCTTTTGAAGGATTTTGTTAAAAACAACAAACAAAAGGACAACTTTTACTTATTGGATATAGAAAATAAATTTGCTAAAGCTTTGAAAGATTTTTGGCTTGAAACACCAATGAACAGAAAACTAGCTCTGGGACTCTTTTTGAAGGAGTTAAAAGATATTTTTGAAAACTCAGGGAAGAAATACAAGGTTGGCTTATTTGACCAGGGATAAAGGAGAAAAACAGTTACATCCGGTTGCCCTTACTGGACTTTTGCTGATGAAGCATTTGGATTTTGTTTTTGTTTTTTATTCAATAGATGAGATATGGGGTGAAGTGAGATTATGTTGTATTTAGAGACAGTGATAAGCTATGACGATTGTTTTTACTTGCTGGGATGAAGGGGGAAGTTGTTTTTTCCTTTTTTTTCTTTTTTTTTCCTAGTCTTTTTTTTCTTTCTTTGTATTTTTCTGTTTGTACTTTTTGTAGCCAGTATTGGTTTTTATTCTTTTCGTCTATAATTATAATAAAATTATTTGAAAAAGAAAAGAAAAGGGTTGGACATGGGAAGAAGCGAACTATGTAATGTAATTTTAAAGGGGGAGGAGCAATACTAAGTTTGTGACTGCTATAAGGAAGACTGGAAGACATTTCTTTAAACATCTTTTTCTACTTTATTTTCTGCACTTTCTCACTATCTTTCTTAATTTCATTTTATGTATTTCTTTATGTTTATCTTTTACTCATTTAAAAATCTTTAATAAAAATTATATTAAAAAAGAGAAAAAAAATACATTAGAACTGCCCTCCGAATTTCACCTAGCAAGCCATACATAATAGAAGGGATCTGCACTTTCACCCTATAGCATTAGACCCATTTGTTCTTTGGGAAAAGCTCAGCAAAACAAGTTACCAACCCACTGGTTTTGTTCATTTTCAAGTAAGTCAGTAAAAAGTAATTACATTCCCTGTTCTATTACACCCACTTACAGAAACGCCTCAATATGGGTATGTGCAAAAATATGTATAATATTCCCAAGTGATAAAAAATGCTTTAAGGTGTGAATCCTACATTAGAAGCAGAAGGTCAAAAACAAAAGCTCAGTGACATACAGGCACACCATGAGACATTAGTGTATTGGGATTCATAATTGTAACCAGCTGATGCAAAAGGTCTGGTTGAGATTCAAATAGTTCAGGAGCCAGCTTCTTCATGACATCTTCCAGTTGTTCAGCTGCATATCCTGGAGCTCCATACCATGTTTTAGGCTCCCCCCTGAAATAATGAAAAAAGATGATGATACACAGCAATTTTAGATTTAGATTTATAATTACATATTATAATTAGGAAGACAAGCAAGGTGTATACTCAAATGAAAGATTAATAGTTGCACATTAATGTTGAAAGGAAATACTTAGTCTAACCACCTATATAAGTTAGGAATCTTTAAGTATGGTTCTTTACAAGCTCACCAGTGCAAATAGTTAATGGAGTAACTCCAGTGATCCTCAATATGCCAGCAAAATGAGGAAAAGCACATCCCTACATACAGCCAAGGCAACTTCATTCCACATATATCTGCAGTGATGTGAGCAAGTACAGACTGTTCCATCACAGGCATATTATTCAAATTCCATCCGCTATCAAGATATTCCTAGAAGTAAAGCAAAAAGTAGAATCCCCGTGTCTAACATAAATCAACCAAGTGAAAAAGGCATCAGACTTTTCAATTTGATTGTATTTTTTTAACTCGATAATCATAAAATATCACTGATTTGTTCTTCATAATCTCATAAAATAACACTGATAACATCCATCAACATGAACAAAAAAAAATGTATGGAGTGATGGATGTCCAAGGATATCAAGGAAAAGGGGATACAGATAAAGGAATCATCACTTTCTCTGACATGCTGAAAAAAGCAAAATCTCCCTGTTTGGCTTTTTATCATTTCTCCTCTCCTTTCCCTAATTTCAAAGCTTAATCAAGCCTGGGAAAAGAAAATTTCTTTTCCTGTGTACTGGAGCTCTATGGCTACATACAACTTAAGAAGAGTCTCAGAGAATTTTGTAAAACACCGAGTCATTTCACTTCTTTGTGAAACTGTCTGGGGTAGTAAAACATGAACCCCACTCTGCTCCACTTGCAGCCTAATAAAATGAAAAGATATTGATTATAATATTTTCATTTCAGCACAGTAAGAAAGTAGAGTTGGTTGCGGGGGGAAGAAATAGAAAACTGTTCTCTCTCTTTCTCTCTCTTTCTCTCTGCAATTTATATGGCCGCCCAACTCACTCATGGTGACTCCGGGCAGCTTACAGGAATAAAAATCCCAAATACAAAACCCACCCCACCACCCCACCACCCCAGGCAACAACAATGCATTTACACTAGCTATTTGATGGGCTCCAGGTTGACCTGGATCCCTAGGCCCGCTGGCAAAACCATGTCTTCAGGGCCTTGCAAAAAAGCATCAAGATGGTGGCCAGCCTTATCTCTGCAGGGATTTTATTTTATTTTATTTATTTATATTTCAAATTTATCACTGCCCATCTCACTGCAGAGTGACTCTGGGTGATCTACAATAAAGTTCCACAGGGAGGGAGCCACCATGGAGAAGGCCCTTCTTCTTGGTCCCACTAGATGAACCTCCTTAATAAGGGGACCCGTAACATACCCTGTCTCCCCAATCTGGTGGGTTGGGCAGATGAAACTGGAAAAAGGCAGTCCTTCAAATAACCTGGCCCCAAGCCATGTAGTGCTTTAAAGGTGACAACCAGTATCTTGAATTGGACCTGGGAGCAAATTATCAGCCAATCCAGCTCCCGCAAGAGAGGTGACATGTGCAAATCTAGGTTTGCACAAAAATATGTGGGCTACCGCATTCCGAACAAATTGAAGCTTCCGGATACTTTTCAAGGGCAGCCTCATGTAGAGGGTATTACAGTAGTCAAGACAGGAGGTGACTAGGGCATAGGTGGCTGTGAGCAGGGCTTGTTAGTCCAGGAAAGGGCATAACTGGTGCACAACCCACAATTGCAAAAAGGCTCTCCTGGCCACAACTGCCACCTGAACTTTGAGCGGGAGTCAAGAGTCCAGGAGAACCCCCAGATTACACACCACGTCCGTCTGGGGCAGTAAAACCCCATCCAAGACTAAAGATGGCAATTCTCCATGGACCAAAGAACACCAAACCTAGAGGCATTTTGTCTTGCCAGGGTTCAGCTTCAACCCGTTGCTCCCCATCCAGACCTTAACAGCCTCCAGGCACTGTGAGAAGGAGGCCATGGCATTGCTTAACTCACCATGGCTTTAACTTTAATTAGAATGAGCTCTCCCCCCCCACACACACACATCCAAAATAAACACAAAAATAGGATGCTTTCAGAGAAAGGAAGGCATTAATTGTGCAACTACTTAAGGTTCATGGGATTTTATAAAAAGTCCACATGATGATGTCATTCATTTTTGATCCTCATCTTTCATCCTTTATTTCTCTATGTGAGTCAACAGAGATATGGACTGAGGTATCGCCAATATGCTTACCTTTTTCATCAAACCTCAGGAAGGGAGCAGGAATGCCAAATCACTATGTGTATACAGTGAAATGGATGAGGGTCACTAAACTGAGACTTAATCTAAATTAGATGGTTCATCTGCTCAGCTGAGTACAACCTAATTTGGAAGATACCTACTATAATATTGGTGTTGCTGGTGACACGGAACATCTTTTATCAGCTTAGCCTGATAGGTGAACTACGTCTGAAGAGTATCATGGAGGCTAGCTATAATTATGCACAATGTGATCATGTGTAATTGGGATTACTGCAAATCATTGTACCATTTGTACTTGAATAGAAATTAAGACCAAATAAATATATCCTCTTGAAAGCACCACATTTATTAAGTGGTAACCCAAATGGGCATTATTTTTCACAATTTACACATAATATTTCAATTATAGAATTCCTACCTTATCCAGTTGTGCACGATGCAGAGTTTTTGGAGTCAAAAACATATTTGCTGAGGCTTTTTGTTGAATTTATATGATGCTGTGTCATTATTGTTATTATCATCCCATAGTTTTATGGTTTTAACATTTCTATGATTTTGTTTGTTTTAATAGATACTGTTTTGGTATTACTTTAAATGAAAAGCAATCTAAAAATTGTTGTGTAAATAAATAATAAATAAAATAGAGCTGAATTTGAAAATGATCCAGAAACTTTATGTAGTCCAAAACCGGGTAACAAGATTGTTACCAATATTGTCCTAGCTTTCAATTATGTTTCCAGACCTGACTGAAAGTGATGGTATTAACTTTTACAATCCTTAATGCTTTGGATCCTTGGGAAGCTTTAAAGTTATTAACTTTTAAAGCCTCCCAGATGCATTATTTATCTATATTCTAAAATTGTCTTTAGAGTGACATTTCTGACTATTCATACCAAATGAAGTGAAGCAGATGGCTACTAGGAGGAATAAAGGTATGTAGCATTTGGATTTCAACCAGGCAAAACTGCTTTCGCTCCAGCATGGGCAGTGTCAGCAGCTCCTTTTCCTGGGCTTGAACAGTAGCTACACGGGCCCAGGAAAATAGTCATTTGAGTTTAGGGAATGTTATGGAAACAGTGAAAATATGCTCTATCCCCCAAGAAATTCACTTGACATTTTCTACACTGTAATATTTTAGCACCAAGATAACTTTTACTTTCTTCCAAGCTTTTCAGTTTTAAAAACACCTTAGTGCTTCTAAAGTCTTGAATGTTAGTGTTTATATAATCTTTATGCAGGTTTAACTTTTCCTTAATTTTACAGAGTCTTGCATGTTTTTCCTGTACCTATCTCAAATAATTTATTATAAACAGACAGCACTAAAAATGAATTTTATTCTTTGGTAATTTGTACTTGTCTCATTCATGTCTTTGAATCAGAGAGATTATTTTGTGGTAAAATGATATAGTTTATTTCTCACAATAAGAGAAATAGTAAAAAAATTCAGCCCTAAATGCTAATTTCTTATTCTTTTAAATGTCACAGCTCTTTCTAGGCAACCTACATTCTGAATTAGTCAAGAATCAAATCTTACCTCTTCTTCTGGTCGGAGTTTAATTTTCCCACCTCTTACAGGAAACCCACTGCCAAACTCCTTTGAGGCAATATCAGCACCATATTCGACTGTGACATCCTCTTCAATTGTACTTACAAGGCGCCAAAACTCTTTCTCCACTAATTCTGTGGGGACCATCTGAATAGAAGTCAGACAAAATATTACCAACAGATAAAACAAAAAATGCAATGAGAACACATTGGGAATATAAGAAGAGTCAAAAACATAATATGGAGGTAAAGAAAAAATCTTCCACGAATGAGGGGCACATTCAGCAGATATTTGTACTAAAAATTTAATTATTAGGACAAATCACAAGGAAACAGGACAAATAAGGGAGCTGGGTAGTTCCTTTCAAAGATTTCATCTTTAGTGCTGAAATCATACAGATAGTCGTCACTTAATGATCATCTGTTCAGTGACCAAAGTTATGACAGCGCTGAACGAATAGTAGTTACAGCTGGTCCTTGAAGTTATGGTCGTTGCAGCACCCCCGCAGTCACATGATAAAAATTCAGGCACTTTGCAGCCTGTCCACATTTATGACTGCAGAGGTAGGTCAGTTGGGGGTGACAGGGGTAGGTGGAGGTGGCAGAGTGCAGAACAGCCAAAAGGGCAGAGATTGGGGGGAGATAGGCAGGTGGAAGGAACTGGAAGCGAGTGTGGCAGGGCAGAAGCATGAGGTCCTCACTTAACAGCAGCGCGGTCCTCACTTAACAAACACAACCAGGTCTATGGGAACTGCTGTCACTAAGCACCATGGTCACATGATGTTTCGCATAATGATCACTTCACTTAGTGATGGAAATTCTGATTCCAATTAGGGTAGTTATGCAAGAACTACCTGTAATGTCAGGGACTAAATCAATTCCCTATTTCCCTTGTACTACCAGACACCAACCTAGGAGACCTTTTGGAAAAGACGGACCAGAGAGAACACCTGTCATCTCAGGGCACACAAAGGTAATACTTTTTAGAAAAGGAATTCTTATTTGCAGAACAATTTATCACAATCTCATGGAGGCATTATACAGGTAGTCCCCACTTTAAGAACAAAGTCTGTTCCCAAGATCTGCCCTTAATTCGAATTTGTATGTAAGTTGGAACAGTACTATTGTATAGCACTTATAAGTAGCATTGTGTAATGAACTCAAACGATTGTGCATTTAACTCAAATCATTCTGTATTTAACTCGAATTCTGCTATAATGGGCTCCATTCTTAATTATGGGTCGTCTTTAAACCAGGCGTTCTTAACCAGGGAACTACCTGTATATGAGATAAAAACACACTTAAGAGTCACTGGTTATTTCAACATTTTTTCACAGTTCATAGAATCTTTTTGTTATTCAGTATTATATGATGTTCCTGGAGTGTAACTTTTCTTTCATAAGAAATAGGAAGACGGAACAATTTCAGTGAGGAAGAATGAATTAAACTAGTGATAAAAATACACTAAATATCAAGCAGAATATAAATACTTTCTGAGGCTAGACAAATTTTACAGTGAATAGTTTCTATATTAAAATATAAGCCATATTATTTATTAAAAAACGGCATGGTGGCAATTGAAAGCAGAGAATGGGCAAGTAGGGTGAAATAATATGCCCCCTTCCACGGTTGAGCCCCCCATCCCACCCCATTAATTCTCTCCAATGTTGTCCAGAAGGAATTTTCTGATCAGTGAGGCCCACCAAGAAAATTAAAATCTGTGAAGAAATCCTATTCCCATTATCATCTAATTTCCCAACACTCCATGAATATCCCCTATAATGAAATCCAAGTTACAAACTAATTAAAAATATGAACATACATGCACTGGCATATTAAAATAATCTGACTTGAAGGCATCTGCCATTTCTCCAAACGTACGAAGTGTGTAGTCTCGTGCTGCCTGTTCAAAGCCAAACGCTTCCTGTGGTTTATTGCATTCCTGTTAAAGTTAAATATAGCAATGAATTAATAATGTGTGAACAGTACTGTACATAAAGAGGTCCATTCCAAAAGTATGACAAAATGCAACTTATAACCATGGATTTGCAGACTCCAGAGTTTACAATATGGTCATAGTGGCTAGAGACTGCAATGCTCAAATTAAAAGAAAGGAGTAAAATTATGGACGGTATTGCTATGGGGCCTGCTTTTATTCACTTCTCAAAGCCCTACCACATTCTTCCTGCAATGAATACATTAATGTATTTATTTAAATCATTTATATGGCTATCCATCTCACTGCTGTGACTTGGGGAGGCTAACAAGAAATTAAAACTAAAAAATCCAACAAAAATAACTCAATTAAAAAAACAGAGAGATTTGACCACAATAAAACAATATATCATATGCTAGATGTCTAAACAGATACAGTGGGGCAAAAAAGTATTTAGTCAGCCACCAATTGTGCAAGTTCTCCCACTTAAAAAGATGAGAGAGGCCTGTAATTTTCATCATAGGTATACCATGTGATTTTCTGGATTTTTTTTCTCATTTTGTCTCTCATAGTTGAGGTATACCTATGATGAAAATTACAGGCCTCTCTCATCTTTTTAAGTGGGAGAACTTGCACAATTGGTGGCTGACTAAATACTTTTTTGCCCCACTGTATCTGTTTAGACATCTAGCATATGAAGGTATACCTATGATGAAAATTACAGGCCTCTCTCATCTTTTTAAGTGGGAGAACTTGCACAATTGGTGGCTGACTAAATACTTTTTTGCCCCACTGTATCTGTTTAGACATCTAGCATATGAAGGTATACCTATGATGAAAATTACAGGCCTCTCTCATCTTTTTAAGTGGGAGAACTTGCACAATTGGTGGCTGACTAAATACTTTTTTGCCCCACTGTATCTGTTTAGACATCTAGCATATGAAGGTATACCTATGATGAAAATTACAGGCCTCTCTCATCTTTTTAAGTGGGAGAACTTGCACAATTGGTGGCTGACTAAATACTTTTTTGCCCCACTGTATCTGTTTAGACATCTAGCATATGAAGGTATACCTATGATGAAAATTACAGGCCTCTCTCATCTTTTTAAGTGGGAGAACTTGCACAATTGGTGGCTGACTAAATACTTTTTTGCCCCACTGTATCTGTTTAGACATCTAGCATATGAAGGTATACCTATGATGAAAATTACAGGCCTCTCTCATCTTTTTAAGTGGGAGAACTTGCACAATTGGTGGCTGACTAAATACTTTTTTGCCCCACTGTATCTGTTTAGACATCTAGCATATGAAGGTATACCTATGATGAAAATTACAGGCCTCTCTCATCTTTTTAAGTGGGAGAACTTGCACAATTGGTGGCTGACTAAATACTTTTTTGCCCCACTGTATCTGTTTAGACATCTAGCATATGAAGGTATACCTATGATGAAAATTACAGGCCTCTCTCATCTTTTTAAGTGGGAGAACTTGCACAATTGGTGGCTGACTAAATACTTTTTTGCCCCACTGTAATTCCATCTTACAATCAGTAAGAAATAACAACTAACTACCAGGGTTCATCTAACACCCTAGCCCAAATGTCCAAGAAAACAACCAGGTCTTCAGTGCTTAGAAAAGGCCAACAAAGTCAGGGCCATCCAGATATCCAGGGAGATGCTATTCCATAGGATAGGTGCCATGACAGAGAAGGCATATCTCCTGGGTCCCACTTGAAGGCATTGCTTAATAGAAGGGACCTGGAACATGCCCACCATGTCAGTTCTGGTGAAGTAAGTAGAAACAACTGGAGACAGGTGATCCTGCAAATAACCTGGTCCTATGCTGTACAGAGCTTTGCAGGAGACAATCAGCACCTTGAATTGTACCCAGAAGCTCACTGGAAGCCAATGGACCTTGTAGAGCAATGGTATTATATAAGAGAATTGTGAAATGCCAAGAACTGTCTATGCTGCCACATTCTAGACCAGTTGCAGCTTGTGTATACTCTTCAAGGGCAACTCCATGTTGACCACATTACAGTACTCCAAGTGAGAGGCGACTAAGACGTGAGTATCCATGAGTAGGTACTCCCAATCCAGAAACAGACACAACTGGCACAGAAGATGAACCTGTGCAAAGGTCTCCTAGCCACACCTGCCATCTGCTCTTCGAACAGGAACCAGTGAGTCTAAGATGACCCTCAGCACTGGGCCCCAACACTGTCTAGGGGAGCACTACCCCATTTCAGTTAAAGATGGAAAGTCTTCAGGAGGCTTCAGAACCTACAGCCATTTGGTCTTGCCAGGGTTCAACCAAAGCCTGTTCTTCCCCATCTAGACCGCCACAGCCTCTAGACACTGGGAAAGAATCCTAAGGGCAACACTTGGTCAACTCAGGGCAGAGATGAACTGTTAGATATCTTAGTACTGATACCTCAACCCCATCAACGGATGACCTCACCCAGCATGTAGATGTTAAATTGGATCAGGAAGAGTGTAGAGCCCTGAGTTAGCCTACAGAGCAGGGGTACTGGACTCAATTCTCCCCCCACCCCAAACTGGAACCAGCCCTGGTAAAAGGAGAACAACCACCATAATACTGTGCCTCCCATTCCTAATCACCTGAGCCAATCCAGAAAAACACCAAGATTGATGGTGCTGAAAGCTGCTCAGAGATCAAGGAGGGCCAGGACAGATGCACTATCCCCATCCCAGTCTGCAAAAGATTATCTGCAAGTGCAATCAATACTTCTCAGTCCTATAACCAGGTGTGAAACCTAACTGAAAAGGCAAGGTTGTAGACTGGACAAAAATTGACCAGTTGTGTTGGATCCAAACATGGCTTTGTGAGGAGAAAATGGACAATTGCCTCTTCCAAAGTAGGTGGAACAACCCCCTCACAGCCACAAGCATTAACCAGCACTTGGACCCCAACTACATATCACCTCCCAGAAGCCCTGACCACCCAGGTGGCACATGAATCTAAAAATGAGGTGGTTGAACTCACAGCTCCAAAGACCCTGTTCATCCTGACTAAAGATTTAAACTCCTCCTAGATAACCAAGCAAGACTACGCCTCAGGCAACTGCACAGAACCCACGCAGCTAGAGTTCAAATTCAAGCAAATCCAAGCAATTTTATCTGACAGATGCCTGGAATAATCCTCACAGTGGCTCTGCAGATGTTCCCATGACCCCTCCTTACCCAGGAGAGACCAGTTCACCTTAAGCAGGGGTGCCAGCTGGTCTCTGCAGATGCGATATGGGAAGAAAAATAACTGCATTTTGCTGCCCTTATCACCACAAGGTAATCCTAAAGGAAGGCTCAGTCAGGTTTACTCTTTGTTTTCTTCCAGCAGCACTTTGGGCATCTTCCATGCCACTTCATCACCAGGAGTTCCTCTAAAAGCCAGAGGCCCTCTGAAAACCAGGCACTATCCACTCCATAGTCATCATTGTTCTCTCACTCCAAGCAATGATTTAGGCCTTGGTTGAACCATGCACCAGAGGCCTAGGAACAACCCCAAACTGCCTCTGAAACTCTGTTTCATACCCACAGTGATGAGGAAGACTACCTATTAAACAGAGTTATGGGAAAAAAAAGAGGTGCATTAGTCACCTCCAAAATAAGATAGTCAAGTCAGAGAAAAACATACTTTTGCTTCATACAATGTATTTTTAATTTTTAATACTAATTATCTCTGTTTTAGAGAAAAAACCAAATTGTATTACCTGAGCTAGACATTGGGGACATCTCCAATCCCCCTTGGGAACATCATGAAGAGGTGGTATCAAACAAAAGGTATGGTAACTGTCATCACAGCCATCACATAGGAGCAGACGATCTTCATCGTTTCCACTGCCACATAAGAGGCATACATACAAATCCACCTGTAAAAAAAAAGTTATGGTAGAAAAAATAATCCTATTACTTAATATTTTATTTTACAGCTCACAGTAAGAAAAGCTGACCAACATGGATATGTAAAAATCTCATATTTATATTAGAACACATTTAGTTGTTTATACTGAACAACATACAATATGTGGCTAGATATAAAAAGAGTGAATGGTCCTGTTGCATAGACAGAGAAATGTAAACACACATGGATCAAAAGTGAATAAAGTCTAACAAGTCAATACCAGAATGATCTTTAATTTAGTTAGCTACAGTATTTTACATATCCTGATATCACTGTCCAAAAGCATAAGAAGAAGAGTCTAATTGTAACTGCTTGGTTGTTTTTGTTTTTCTACCTTTCTCTTTTAAGAGAAAGAGAACTAACTGAACAGAGATCTTAAGGGCTACTTTTTTTTCTCATTAAATCAAATGTATTTTGTTCTCATTGAAAAGCAAAATGGAGCTTCTGAAATAAATCTCAAAGAATCTGAAAGAATCTGAAACAAGTCTTTTGAGTAGCTAAGTATAAACTAAACTAAAATTTCATTCTAAATAAATGAAGCAACAGTGGAACTTCACTGGATCAACTTTCTAGAAAAATATGTTGTAATTGAGCAGAATAGTTTACCCATCAAACTATTAATGTTGGCACTTCATTTTACTAAGACTTGAGGAATTATTTTTCAATTATCTACACTGAACTATGTACACAGTATTTTTTGCAATTAGCATGAAAAACCCCAAATAAACATACTCACAGCATTAAAATTTTTCTTAGAACGTCCCTTTGACTTTTCTCTATCTGCTTCCCAAATCCACTGTTTTTTCTCAACACCTTCTCGTTTCACTATGCCATGAGATTCTTTATCTGATTAAGGCAAAACATTAACACTAGTCTAAGCATTTGAAAAAGAGTAGGTTCTGAAAAACATTTAAATGTGACTTCAATCCATTAAAGAAAGCTTAGTTGGAAAAACTGTGAATTTTATTTAATTTGTATTCACAAGTTCATAACAGTTCTAAAAAACATATGCTTTAAAGAAAGATGGCTTTTAAAAATCATGCTTTAAAAATATGTTTGAGTATAACAATTTGTTTTTATAACAATAAAGGTCTAGCAATTTTACAAAAAAGGAAATCTTCATAAAATTTTAAATTTTATTTAAAAGAGAGTTTGGGGGACCACATAGAACATTGGGCAATATACAATTTTAAGGTGAAACTGTGTAGCAACAATTTCATTTTCCACTTGTAAGCTTACCATTGTCAGACTTTACTGGAGTGCTCCCCATTCTGCGCCTCAAATTATGAGTTTTGGTCTCTGTAGTTTCTTCAACCTCAGCTTTAATATTAGTAGCCTTGTAAGAAAAAAAAGTTTAACATTTATTCATTTTAACATTTGTTTAGCCCTACATTAACCTGCTGTATGCTAATTTTATGCCAAAAATGGACTTTTCCTATCTGTATTTAACATGTCACTCTTGTGTGAGTTCAACTTTCATCGTGAATAAGAATTATACTGTGATTAAACTACTTAAGACAAGCAAAATTAATGTGAAGAGAAAGGAAGATAGGGAGTCTGGCTTTTTTCTCAGCTGCTAGCAATTAATGTCTTCTTGTGGTAGAAACTCTAACAACAATGTTGAAGAATGTTTGCATGGAGTATCCCACAATTCTGATTTAGCATTTCATTTCTAAGTTTAAAACATGAGAAATTACCCAGGCAAGGACCTTTAGAGTAGCCAAGAATTCCATAAACTGGTACTGCTCATACACAGAATTTTGAGTATAGTTAAATCAATATGGCAGTTAATTCAGAAGTACTGAACTAGTATTTTAAAATGTTTTGGAATATTTAGATTGAAATGCTCTAAAACATCTGCATATGGTTAAAAAAATACAAAAAATAAATTCAGACAAGTGGTAAATCAGACCCCCAAAAACCCAGAATTTTTAGTGATGCTAATTTGGTCACAGATCTCTTAACTCAAAGCTATACTGAACAGTGGAAGCCAAAAGGAAATTAAATCGCTTCTAGTTTTCAAGGGTTTATAAATCTGCTCAACTTCTACTCTGGCATCACCATTTCTCAATTTCAGTTTGCTCTCTTTAAAACAGATTATAATGTAATATATATAAACTATATTCTTTCTAATGAGCTTCCATAAAGAAGTAAAACCTCGTCTTGATGAAAGAGAATTGGGGGGATATTAGATTTTGACATCTCCCCCTGGTAGTCAGTCCCATTATAATGTATATTGTCATGTGTTTTTTGAATCCTGTTGTTTTTCTGTGTATACTACTTTGAGCCATTAAAGTACAGTGGTGTAGAAATATTAGCAATAATTAATAATTATCACATGTGATTGTTGTAACAGATCCTTACACAACTTAAAAACTGGATTCACACATTATGCTAAGTCATAATTCTTAAAATCATTTTATGTTTAATAAGCCATAGTTCACACATTTATGATAAGCCAATAGGAGACAAATCATTTTGTAACTTAACATGATATATGAACGTGCTCACAGAAGCACTACATAAACAGCTTACCATATTATGAATAAAGGCAAAATACCCCCAAACTGGTCTCAGATAGCCAGTAAACTAAAACACTGATTCATTATATTCACGCTGAACATTACTGCTAACACTTTACAGTAGTTAAAAGAAGTAGTTTTTCCCACAAAGAAATACCATGGGAAGTATATGCTAATTCTAAGAGATCCACTGAGTTGGGTGGCCAATAAATTTAAATAAGTAATAATAAATAATAACAGTCTTCTCAACTGTGGTTGAATTAGACCACAACAGCTGTATTTGTCATTATCAGAACTGCAGACACAATCTGTAATCTAAGAGATCATGCTCTTTAATCTCTGGCAAAGGACAAAACTTTTGTAGGTCCGAGTCATGACCTTCTTATAATTATCACACACACAAAGTCAATCCTACCTCTGCTCTCATGCGTTTTGCACGACGTGCAGGAGGGCAAGTTTCGGATGGTTGAACAGATTGTCTCTGAGGAATATCATGGGGTTTATATTCTTTGTCCTTTGTACCACTGGTAATATCTGGCTTCTGAAAACACTAAAAAAGGAAGCAAGAGTGAATTATTTCTTTGTATTTCATACAAAAATCCCATTGGTATTAAAATTATCTTTAGTTGTTGAAAGAAACTATTATTACATGCTTATATACATTGAATTGGGATGACCAGCTGTATTTTCAATAAAAATTGTTTAGGGTAGATCAATCCTTTTATTGTCTGAAAGAAAGGTTCCTCCCATTTTCAAAAGCAGGTACATCAGAATGACCATAGCAGTAGACAGAAAGACAACTTTTACCAACACTTACCCTACCTTGCAGTTGCTTAACCTGCCACATATTATTTCAGAATTATCTATAGGCCTAATGAGCAGACATTATATATGCATATATGCTGTAGAAAAAGGGAGAATTTGCAAAACTCTTAATTTCTTCTGCTGGCAGAAGAAAAATCTGGATCTGCCTATTATTCATGAATGATTAAAAATGCCATGATTTAAAATACAATTAATCTTGTATAGTGGATGGGCTTTATATTTCATTCCAATGCTAACGAGAGGTAAATCCCATCAGCACTAGATTCAGACAATATGGCATCTTTCCAACAAAGACCATGAAAAATAGATAATGACCACTTATATCCAAGGTGCTTTTAGCAGCCTACACAACTATCCTAGTCTTACCCATTTCTATGTTCTGCTACTGAAAGTGACTCAAGATTTTCCACTGCCCCCCCAAATGTGCACTAGTGATTTTAGGAGAGGATGATTAAGCTAAGAGATAAATATTAAAATAGCTGTACTCCTTAAGTGTACTCTGAACTCCAGTCAGGGTATCACTGACTTAGTTGTTTGTACTCATGGGATATACTAAGCTTGTTTGACTAAGAAGTTATCTAAAATAGTAAAATGGAAAATATCCGAATGTGTGTATGTGTGTTAGACCTAAGGTATAATTTCTACTACATTGCTCTGACAATGTGAAATGACTGCAGTACTGTTTCAAGCAATAGGGTCATATAGCATTGTTAGAGAAGAGGCATTTGTCAAGTACGGTAGCATCTAGATAAACAGTAATAATCATATAAATAATGCATTTTTATTCATTCACATTTTATTATTACTACATTGATACCCAACCTTTTACCTAATGAGCTCAAGAAAACATATGTTTTCCATTTTAGTCCTTCAATTACCCTGAGGTTGATTAAACTGAATGTATAAGACTGGCCCAAGATCACTAAGTTTCATAGCTGAATGGAGAGTTGAACATAGGTCTCCAGATACTGTTAGATTGCTAACAAGATGGGGGACGCGGTGGCGCAGCAGCTTAATGATGCTGGAGTGTGCTGGCCAGAAAAGGTCGAGTCTCCAAAGGTTCGAGCCCAGCTCCACGTGACATAAGTGAGCTCCCGTCATTTCGTCCCTAGCTCCTGCCCACCTAGCAGTTCGAAAGTACACCATCTACGAGTAGATAAATAGGTACCCCCATTTTGGTGGGGGGAAACGCTGGCAGCACAGGGAAGAGGAATCGGCGCTGGACCTGCCTGGATGCAATTGGTGAAAGGATCGACCTCCCTAGGAATGCTGCTGGCCAGCTGCTGCAAAGCTAGCTCGCCCTCTTGTGTGCACCAGTGCACTAGCAATTGTTGGTGCCAGAACATCTACTATATGTAAAACACATTGTGGACTCCCTGGCACTGTATTTGTTGTTCAGTCGTTAAGTCGTGTCCAACTCTTCATGACCCCATGAACCATATTGTGCCA